TTTCTCGTATTTCACAAAATCTTAAGTATCTCAGTGAAAAGAAAAATCGTTTAAAAAAATACATTTTAACCCTTTTCTTACCGTACGCGTCCGCGAGTAAGCTTTCTCTTTACCGGGGACGCCGCCACAAGTACCCACTTTAAAGATAGAATGACATATGTTTACGTTTAGCTGTTAATGCGCGTTACGCGTTCACCTAGAGTTTATAGTCGTCTTGCCCGAACTCACCGTATTAATTATAAAATAAGATCGCTAGTATCCACAGCTCGTGGATAACGTGAATGCCGACTAAAATCGGCATTAATATTGAAAGGGTTAAAGAGGAACATTTTAAAGTAGACTTTCTGAGCTTTAACATGCTTTTTGAAAAAAATTGTTGATTTTTCACAAAGATATCGAATTTTTTATTGTATAAAATTTTATTACGTAAAAATGTATTACCTTTTCTATATACATATATATATTTTTTTTAAATAACGTTTTTGATTTTGAACTAAAAGACACAGGAAACAAGATTTATTATAACGTTCTTGAGTTCTTGGTTCTTACATATATTACATATTTTTTCAAAATATTTTAAAAACTTTTTTTATTCAATTTTATGAAATATGTTAACCGTCGAAAAAGTTTTGAAAAAGTTTTGAAAAAATTTATGCGAATCAAGCACATTATAATAAATATTTCTTCCCATTTGTTATTTTTCTAAAAACTTTTTCGAAGTAAAAAACATTTTAGAAAAATTACATTTTTAAACAAAAGGACCTCGCACAAAACATACGGAAAATAGGTCCCCGCTAATTTGACTGAATTTGTAATATGTTGTAGTTCTGATCGTCCTGATCAAAAGTCTCCGTGGGCACGAAGTAAAATAATGAATAGTTTTTGAGTTATTGTACATCAAACTCTGCCAAAATCGCTGTTTTGGTAGAGTTTGATGTACAATAACTCAAAACTGTTTATTATTTTACTTCGTGCCCATGGAGACTTTTGATCAGGACGATCAGAATTACAACATATTACAAATTCAGCCAAATTAGCCGGGACCCATTTTCCGTATGTTTTGTGCGGGGTCCTTTACATAATGAAAAATTCGATATCTTTGTGAAAAAGCATTATAGCAATTTTTATCAAAAGGCATTTTAAAGCTTAGAAAATCTGTTATCTAATCTAAAATGCTTGTCTGTTAAATTTTGTCCAATGAAGTTTCATCCAAGTAGTGCGTTTCAAAAAATTTCGAAAAAAATATCAGTTTCAATTTTATATAATTTAAAAACGAAATATTATAGAGACGAATTCGAACCGGCCGGCGCCAGTTTGAAGTTCTATTTCTTTTTTTTAAAGCTTTTGAAATTTCTATAATATTTTTTCACCGAAATACTTAAATTTTTGTAAAATACGAGAAAATCGCAAGCGGTTCTGAATTTATAAACTGTTTTGTGTGTGTGTGTGTGTGTGTGTGTGTGTGTGTGTGTACATACATACATACATACATACATACATACATACACATAAATATATGTATATATGTGTATATCAGCGTACCTTAAAAATTAAAATAAATACATCTTTTACGTTAAATAAATACATTGTTTATGTTAAATAAAAACTGATATTCTAACTGCTTCCTAAATGCTTGAGCATTTTTTGAGAATATCGAATGCTTTTATTCAAGTATTTTGATATGACTCTTTCCTTAACCATTTTGCTCTTACAATTAGTTAAAATAACTAGAAGTGATTTTGTGCTAAACTATCCTTTGTTATGAGTTAAGCCTCATAAAAATTCTTCTAATCTATTTGTTGGAAGAAATAATGGACGCATTACGTATTAGTATCGATTTTTTAATTTCACGCTTTGCCATTTCTTTAGGTCGTCGTGAGCATGAGCACCTATTAAAGGGATGCTGGTGCCGTCTATGGTGTAATACCAACAAATCATGCATTTCGCACTTTCCATTTTCTTCGTTTTTCTTATACAAAATAAAAGATCCTCCAGAATAAAAGAAAGTGTACAAATAGTCGATAAACTACAAACCTGTATGAAAAACAAAAAGTGTTGTAAATCATATTGTATACAGTTTTTTATTATTATGTAGGTTATTCTTCACATGATATAAGCATTAAATAAAATTTAAATAAATATCTAAACAAGAAGTAATTTCTACTACATTTTAATAATGTAAAGAATATAGTGAGATCTTCAAATTATATGAATTTGAAGCTTACAAGAAGTAAAATGGAAAAATACGATCTGAGTGTACGTAACTTCCCAGACAGCACAAAATACTAAAAGATAACGAAATGTTGTCTTCGACAAATCGAAAAGATGTCTAAAAGATGACGGAAAGATATCTCGTTTTTAGTTTGTCTTTTCGACAAGACGAAAAGATGTTTATAAGATGTCTTTTAGTTTTGTCGAGAAAACAACTTAAAAAGAATGTTTTTTTGTCATCTTTCTGGTTGTTTTGGATGTCTTTTCGGCAAAGTGAAAAGTCGACTAAAAGATATCTTTTCATATTATCGAAAAAATAACATAAAGAAGATATCTTTCCGCTAGTTTGATACTTTTCATCACTCTCACCGAGCAGTATGTAAGATTGCTATTAGACAAACGCGGTAGAGTTTAGTTTCTCTTGTTTGAAAAATATATATACAGAATAGAATATATATATATATATATATATATATATATATAAAAGATGCAGGCATTATGAGAAATTTTACCCATCTTCTAATGAACACTAATGAAATATTTTATGGAAGCAAGTCCCCAAAGTAGGGGACTATGAAAGATAATGACTCTTGCACACAGGACACAGCAAACATTGAAGGACCCATAAATGAGATGTATATGACAGTCATACAATTTCGTCTAGTTTTATGTAAAAATGAATTCAGGAATCTGATGTTATTAAATGTGTCAAGGTACAAAAACTAAAAGAAAGTTTAAAAACGATTAAAAGATATCTACAGGAGTCATTTTTTAGTTATCATATGGATAAAAAGCTGTAAAGATGACTAGCAGTGTGACATCTATTTAGTCACCCTTACGGAAAAAACTCTGAAAATTTCAGTGTTTATGCTCAAATTTGAGTGTAAATTCTAAATTTTGGGAGTTTACTCTGAAATTTGTGTGTTTACACTTAAATTTTGAGTGTTTACACTCAAACATTGAGTATATACACTCAAAGATCAAGCGTTTATAACGCTCATACTCAAGTTTGAGTTTACACACTAAACATCTAAAGGTTACCCTAAACACTTGGGTATGACACGCAATAAATGAGCGTAAACCCTAAACCTTTGAGTGTCTTCAAAATTGAGTAAATAAACTTAACAGTTATTTGAGTTTTAATTTCCATGATTAAGATAAATGCCAAAATATTGAATGTAGATGCCCGCAAATATTTGCGTACTTAAAAATAATGGCGTTTACAATTTAATATTTGTTCTGAAATTTTAATTTGTTTTGAAACTTTTATTTGTTTTGAAATTTTTATTTGTTTTGAAATTTTAATATTTATTTCTATTCCTATAATAATACTTCCTCCATTGTACGTAGGATCTAAGGGTGAAATCACACGGTGCGGAAAAGAAAATATGTCACAAAAGCAACCAATCAGCTTTATTCTGCGTTATTCCGAATAACGCTAATTGGTTGTTTCAGTGGGCGTATTCAGCGGACTCAACAGTTTAGTGCGAGTGCCATGCTCGCTCTTATTAGTGTATTCTTTTAGCTCATCCAATCAGAATTTTAGATCTAGAAGAATATACCAATAACAGCGAGTGCTCACTCAACTATTGAGTCCGCTGAATGACGCATTTTTTGTTCCGCAATCATTTTCCGCACCGTGTGATTTCACCCTGACACTAAAGTTAACTATCAAGTTGAGATTAACACTCAACATTCATTAATAACACTCAAGTTGAGAGTTATACTCAGGTTGAGCGTTCAAAATAATCATTAATTGAGTGTTACCTTGAGTGTATGTTTTCAGTGTTTATTAAAGTGTAAACACTCAAAGTTTAAGAGTTTTTTCCGTAAGGGCATCTTTTCGTTGATTACTATATTCTTTCACTAAAAACATGTATAATATATATAACAATATATAATAATTTAGTTATCTTTTAGACAACTCTGTGTTCTCTGGGCTAGTATTCATGCGATATATAGGATATAACAGCAAGAAATGTACGTAATGTTTTACTTAGGCCCAGTCCCACAACTATCACGATTAACTCTTAACCGAGGTTCAATTCATCCTTGAATTGAATAGCGAAGAGGAATGAGTTGAACTTCGATTAAGTGTTAACCATGAATTATAGAACTGAGCCTTAATATACGTAATGTTTTACTTAACGCATATAACGTTTTATTTAATATATCGTTATGATTTATTTGGAATTAAGAATTTGTTTCATCATATCGATCGACGGTCACTCCAGCATCCCCTTAAGGGAATCCTAAAGCTGTCTATTTTACCGACTAAACATAATAATTTTTCTGTCGTACTTTTTTCTTCTTTACAAATTTGAAAATCTTTTTCTAGAATTAAAGTATATGTATTAATACATGTCTGTGAGATGGAATTTATACTGAGAACGGAAAGTTTCTTAAAGTTGAGATCTTCCTTACCATTTCTTAGTATACAATATGGTGTATAGAGCCGTCAATATCGTAATATTTGCTTGAATAAAAGTTTTATAATCTATACTTACGAAATTGTAGTTTACAGACAATAGTTTACACAAACAAATAATGTCGAGTTTTCACAATTAGACCAATTCGATACGAAAATGCGTTATGAAAATTTATATATAAGTGTGCATGAGATATTGATGTAGTATGTAATATGCAGTGATATATTAATGACATGTAAATTGCATGTGTGTAAATCTTATTAGGTCGATAAAACAGACGATTTTAGGAGCCTCTTAAATTTCTAAACTAAAGAATCAAATCGTGTTACTATCTGTCAACTTCTCATTGAATGTCGCTTTTTAAATTATGAAAACGCTAAAGCTACAAGAACGGTACAGAATGGAGGCGTAAATCTCCATAAGGAGATTTGGTGTAATCATCACTCACTTTTGTATTTTCGTCCGCCAGATCAACACCGTAGTTGCTCGAAGTGTTGTCTTCCTCTGTAAAAAGACAAAATATTTGGCGAATTTTAAATTCCTTTCTTCTTGTTGCTTTAATATTCGTTAAAGGTTAATTAACTCTCAACTACATCAGTGGGTCTTTTATAAAAAAAAAGTTTTAAGTAATTAATTGGTATTTCTGTATGGTTGACATAGGACTTTAGAATTGCAGTTAAATTCACTTTGAACTCTCCCCTAATATTCGCCGTACGGCGGTATTTTACTTATACTTATGTTGAATGTTCAAACGGGACGTTTGAAAAATCTAGCATGGATTATTTGGACACAGATGATGTATAAGGGCTGCGTTCGGAAATGTTATTCAGATGCCACAAGGATAAAACGATATACTAGCTCACCAGGCCATTCGAATAATGTTTCCGAACTTAAGCTAGATTCGTAAGTTTTTCACTAATATTTGAAATTGAATATTTAATGAAAAAATAGTTTTATTTATAGAAAACGCTTTTTAAAAGTGAAAGTGTGAAAGACGACTGTTAACTGTGTTTACTTTGTGTAGAATAAAATCATAAATAAAAAGAGACGAATTTTTTTTCGAATTTAACCCGACGTTATAGAGATTGGGTCACAATGACCTGAGACATATTTAAACATCTGTCTCTTGTTACATACATGTTGGGTTTTAACTCTCAGTAGCTAGAGTATATTTACTGTTTATTTTAGATAAAGAATTTAGTTCAGACTAACTATATTATAAGAAACTACTATTCCTACTAATAATAAAATTAATAATAAAACTAATAATAAAATTAATATTTTACTATTTTGTAATGCTGACATTTTTACTTAACCTTTTTAGTAAAACAAGAGCATGTGTTCGAGAAGAAACAGAAATGACGGATCATTTTTAGAAAAGTTGAAAGTATACCATTCGATGATGATGTCATTCGATGAGCATGTCTCAAAATACTTTCAACTTTATCCATTAAAATAATTGTACTTTTGAAATTAAATATTATAACGTATTTTCTTCTTAAAGTTTACGATGTCCTCTTTCTAAGACGATATTTAGTTTTGTTTTTTTATTTTTTGTTCGCAAAGATATGATTTTCTAAACATTCTTTTTTTACACTTTTCTTTTTTACAAAATTTTTGTTTGCGTTCAATAGAGAAAACTAATCAATTAATGCTTAGTAGGTAATTCTTTTAATACGATTGGTTCTTACCTTTAGTTTCTCGCTGGATCTAAATGTAGGAAACAATCCTGTTAAAGAACCACTAAGCGCTAATTGATTAGTTTTCTCTGCCGACCGTAGCCATCGTGATCAAAACTTTTTTTCACTTACAGATTTGAATCTTATACGGTTTAGCGTTTTATTAAATAAAAAAAAATTAATTAAAATCCACTGAAATTTGTGAAAGATACAGCGACAAAAAGCCTTGGGTCTAAAATACAAATAATGTAGATTAGGGTGAGTTTTATAGTTTTGTAGTTGAGGATTAATAATACATTCGAGCCAATAATAAGTATACTAAATAAGTAGCATTAAGAATAGTCTTCTTAAGTCCTCCTTAAGAAAAGAGCATGCATACATATGATATTCTGCGATTTATGATTAATCGGAATCGCTTGCATTTTTGTTAAAACTATTGCTTATTGCGCCAGGAAAGGAATAAATGTAGGATGCGTTGCATAGGAAGAGAAAATGTAATTATTAAGTTATGTAGTTATACAATCTCTCTCTTATTCGGATATGAAAATCATTTTCTTGAAACTGCTTGAGAAGTGATTATCTCACGGACATGCCTAGCTTTGTCCAATTTTGTAGAAACATGCCACTCTTTAATCGATGATACAACAGTCGATTAGATGATTACATATTTTCAAATTTGTGATTGACTCAAAGTTGACAATATTAAGTTATGTGTAAATACGATGTATTATGAAGCGATATTATTTACATAGTAAATTACAATTGCTCTTTTACTCTGAAATTATAAAATTAATTATGTATACACTCGTACAGGAAATCGTAAATAAATTGCAGAGTTGAGTAGTACCAAGTTAAAAAGCTAAAAGTTAAAAAGTTAAAAAGTTAAATAATTTTAACTTAACTTAGTTACATTTTAGACTCTTAACTTTTTAACTTTATTTAGTTACATTTTATCGATAACTATTAACTTTTTATTTTAATTTTTTGAAGTTAAGTCTCAGATTCAAACATATACTTCATTTAGAACATACTCTATATTTTACTTAAAGTTTTGTTTGTATATATTATTTACATTATATATTGATTTCAATCTAGCAAAAACCGTTATTTTAATGTATCTAGTTTTTGATAGGTTGTCTATATATATCTGGTTGTCTATATATATAAATCTATATATATATATAGCAGTATATATAAACAAAAAGTTTAAATAAAATATAGAGTATATTCTAAATGAAGTATATGTTTGTCATTTCCGTTATTTGTAAGACTCTGAAATCATAAAACAGAAAGAAATTTAACTTTTAATTTTTCAATTACTTTTTTTTATTAACTTAACTTAGTTAAAAGAAAAAATTAACTTACCCAACCCTGATAAATTGTAAATAATTGTTTCATAAAATGAACTATTCTCATAAAACGCAATTGAAAGCGATTGAAAAATGAAATGGAAATAGAATTATCTCTTTTTTTTTATACAAGCAGCAGATTTCTTTATGATGTACACACAAATCACACAATTTGACAAAAGGCCGTGGAGAGATGATGAAAAGCCGTGGGTGATAATATTAGATAAAATTTATTATTTATTAATTCATTATTTACATTTTCTTTCGATGATTAAACATATTATCTAAAGTATTATGAATAAAAATTTTTCTATGCCTATTAGAACCGATATACACAGGATATTATGTGTAATATTCAATTTATTAATGAACAATAAAATTATATAATTATGACATCAGGTAAACGTTTCGACCCTATTATTTGGGTCCTCTTCAGTACCAAAAAAACACAAAAAATTCTATAAATAAATGTGTAGAGTAACTATGTAACAGCAAGGTTGAAAGTTGCGAAGATTGTGTCCATTATATATGCATGACAAGAATTGTACTAACTGTGACTTCTGGCGGTTAAGTTCGCGTCAAATCTATCGTCATTGATTGTTCAATTAATGACGGGATGCATCTCTGAAATGTATGTCAGCCAATTTCCGTGTTCATGACATCAATTCTGCCAAATTCTTGTCATGTATATATAATGGACACAATCTTCGCAACTTTCAACCTTGCTGTTATATAGTTACTCTACACATTTATTTATAGAATTTTTTGTGTTTTTTTTGGTACTGAAGAGGACCCAAATAATAGGGTCCAAAACATTTACCTGATGTCATAATTATATAATTTTATTGTTCATTAATAAATTGATTATTACACATAATATCCTGTGTCGGCTCTAATAGGCATTGAAAGATTTTTATTCAGATTATTTCTAGAGAGCCTTTATCTTGGATCTATTGTCTAAAGTATTATATTCTTCAGCAGTTAAATAATTGATATTTGAAATTGTTATTGAGAGAAGAATTTCAGTAGATCAATACGTTCAACATGTATAATTCAAGGTCGTTAATAGCATTGTTAAACAATCCACCGATGATTATCGCTTTAGTGCAATGATGGATAGGAGATACGATAGCCATTGAACTTTAGAAATTTACCTCTCTATATTCCCCCTTCTCTATGTTTTATGTCACGATCGAATGCGTTCGACAGGCAGTACCTATGTAGGCAATAGGTATGTATATCGTACGTGATTCGTGCGTAAGCAAACACAAATTCCATGCCGAATGATTGTAATTAGAGCGAATTACAACTCGGCGTTTGCGACGTGAGTGACGTGACTCACTCACCTCACAGAGAAAGATATACATATAAAATAAATAGCTAGACCACAACGCTATGTACGGCGCATTGCTATAAGTACGTACTTAGGCATATATTGTGCTTCATTCAACAATTCGATAAGATCTCTGACTTTTTAAGTTTTTAAGACACATTGTCTTATTTCACATCGCGTTGTCCGAAAAATACCGGAAAAATATCCGAAATATTCACTGATCCGACATTAATAATTACAATTAATTTATCTATATTTCATTATCATTGAATCGCTCTGCCGACCCTTTCGACATTGAAAGATTGAGGCAATACAAATTTCTGGCAATACTCCATGTTCTTTAACAATTCGTTTACAAATTCAAATATCTCGACAGTTCGACAGTTTGCCAAACGGTAGCAGTTTCGTTGTCACGTGCGTGACATTACACAAAATTTGGTTAATATAATTATTAACTCACCAATATAAAAGGGAGCCGTGTCGTAAGCGTTACAAGGGCCCGCGTGCCGTGTTTCAAGAACGAAACCAGTAACACAGGCGTCCTTGATAATGTGACACCAGCTGGGATAGGTGATGTTATTTGTTGCACATAACATGGTCATCGATGGATCTCGATCTCGATCTCTGTCACGATGCGCCCTATTCCGGATGCGCTCCCGCTTCCGGGGGCAACGATACATACAGGTCACGCAACGTGGTCGTCCAGACTTCATTTCGGATAAACAAGTTTGGCCCTCTCTACAGCGTATCTTGGTACAGTCTGCGCTTTCTGTTAAAATCAAATAACTTGAAAATTACTTTGATTTTTTAATAGGAAAAATTTATTAGTTCACAACACCTTGAAAGCACCGTTATCGTATGTTTTACAACTATTGATTCAATCAGAGTAAATGCATTAGAATCGATCGCAGCAAACAGCCATTGATAAACGGTCACTAATATATTTATTGCTACCATATATTAAATTAATCATTCTGCATATTTTTTTTGTTAAATATTTGCTAAATCATATTATAGATATATATGATATTACTTAAAATTAATTGGTCGGTTTTCAATATATTCCTTCTATAAGCTATAATTAATATCTTGTAATACAAAAGATACCTGTAATATATTTTCCATTCTATATCCAAACGTTTGTTGGAAAAAAGTACATTTTTTTAAATAACTGCGCAAATAATTGTGTTTGACTAATTTTGTCCTCTTTGATTTGTGTGTATTTCGAATTTCGAAATTGTGTGACAGAAATGTGCAGAGAAAATACAAAAAACTAGAAGTGCGTTCGCTCTGGCTTAAGTTTTATTCCATCTTCCTCCTGCATAAAGATAAAGAGCGATAAAGATAAAATAAAATTTACAATGCGTGAACGGCCAAAGCGAACGCACCCTAAATCAATCGTTAAGACGTTCTATCTTTGTCACTTGGCAATTTCGTGACATTGACCCATTCGCAAACGCGGTTACTATCGTGATAATATGATACGACGAGTGATACTATACTTATTTTTAGGCTAATGGTCTACTTTTAACGTAAGTATTAATTAATAATAAATTGGCAACACTCGTATTACTTTGACTCACTTTGATCTTCGCACACGCGAACGTAGATTTTAATATAAAAGAAGAAAAGTAATGCAATTATATCTGGAGACATTGGTAGTGTCTCGGCGTTAAACCAAGCGCAGCGACACTGCCGTGGCTACTTTACGCGAATCTGTCAAGATTTCCAGACGGTGATTATGGGATCTCAATAAATGCAGGCTAGAACTGACGAGTGTAAGCGTGTAGGTAAGCAATAGAAAACGTTCTAGTGTAAGATAAAAATGGCGTTCCATGTTCCCATAATTCCAATGGTACAATTCTCTTCCTTTCGATACGAGAATCGAGTGTAAAACGGTAAGTATATGGACAAGACTATTTTTGACCTAAAAGACTTTAGAATGTGTATATTTTAATGCATGGCATTAAAAATGCAGACATACAAGTGAAAACCGTCACAATTTATTAGTTAAAAATTTCTAACTATTGAGTATCAAATTTGTAAGGTTAGAAAATCTTATGCTGTATATATATA